GGGTGAAGATATCTGGGAGCAGTTCATCGACGTGGGGGGGACTTTGCACTTTTGCTACTTCCCATCGACGTGTCGAGCCATCTAGAGAGCTATTTCATGAGCTTACAAGAGTTGACAGGTTTACCATGGTGGCTCGACGAGCTTGCTCCAGCTTCACAAGAGTTCACAGGTTTCACCAGAGTGAGACTTGTAAACCGGAACTAGTGAAGCAGCGAACGTGCAACCCCCCCCCGTCTGCCGCCGAACTGCGCCGATATCTGTCCCCTCGAGCCTTCATGGGTTGTCGCACCCTATCTACAGAAAAAAAGAATCTGAAGATAAAGATATTCGGCAAACGCTCGCCTTCTCTTCACTTATCAAAAATCACTCCCTCCCAAAAGTACATTCGCATTGTGCCTTGGCTTGGCGAACTTTATCAAATTCACGGAATTAGAAGGCCAAGGCGAATGTCATGTGCCATTAACGAAGTTGAAAAGAATGAAAAGGTGAACGCCCGTGATCACCATCTGTAGCATGTGGGGTTGCGGGGTATAAAATTTTGATTCGCTGCGGATGTTTGGGATGCCAGTGGGCTTCCTTCCAATTGTGGCCACGCCCCACCATCAGCAGCTTAGCACTTGGTATGCAGAATAGTGAAGAACGATGACAGCAATGAAGAAGAGGCAAATGAAACCGTCAAAAACGCCCTGAATTGAAGCCCTGCTGGATCTGAACATTTACCTTGCATAGGGCTGGTTGTAGAAAAGAAAATCAGACCATGGTATGGACTCAAAATGTACAAATGATGAAGACCCCACTGCTTTGCAGCATTGGTAGAACGAGATTATTGAAGGTGGATTCACATCGTGGAGGCGGAGTCAGGCTATCATCACTGAGCCGTAGGGCTTTTATCTAAGTCCCAAGGTGGTCAGTCGTGGACGCTGTTTTAGGTCGAAATCGAAGGAGCATTTCAAAGGTCTTCAGTAGGCTTAAAAATGGCACTACTCCCCCCCCCCCCCAACGTAAAACTCTTCGTCTGCAGGGAATAATCAATCAAGGACCCGAGAAAGTCTAGTGTACATCGCCAGAAATGGATTCATGTGGGCCCCATAATTCTTTTCGCCAGTTTTGTTAGAAACTTATGTAAAGAAGCTGCTCAGTGAACTGGTCACGAATAACACACGCATCGCCATTCAAACCTCACAAGTGACTTGAAGAGTGACTAAAAGTAGCTCGCAAAGCTGGTTTTGGGCGCAGGGTATAAGCATCGTTGGTGTGAAAGCGGTGATATCAGTGTGACGCCCTGTCGAGGGTGGGTGTCAGGACGACCCCCCTCCCCTTCCCCCTTCCCAAGCCCCTATCTACCAGTTTCCCTACATTCCATTTCTCTCTTTACAACGCATCTGTGAAGCGAGAAAATTAACGTTATCAAAAGTAATTTTACCATCGCAAAACGGCGAACTCCCTATTGCGAGTTACCTAAAGCAACATGTGCCCTGCTGTCGAGGTGGGGGGGAGGGGAAGGATATAGTACACATGAAGCAGGAAAAATCACGCGAAAAGTCAACAACTTCGCCGGGAAAAATTTTCCCCAGCCCGGTTGTTGACTTCGACGCTGCAAATTTCTCACAAAGGACCCTCTTCTCCCAGCGCAATAGTACGATCCCCCCCGTGTATTTACACCAACGTGCTGTACCCTGGTTTGGCGCGCTATCGCCAGTCAAGGTAGCAACCTATTATGATGTGTCACGACACGTTGAGAAGAGTTCCATAAGTGGGTAATCACTGCTATCCTAAGTAGGTTACAGAACATCTGAACTTTATATTTTTCGCTGAGAGGGTACAGAAGCGTTCTTCTGTTGCATCTTCTTGTCAAGCATTTCAATGGAGACGAACAAGAACGAGTGGAAAGAAAGAAGGAAGGAAAATAGGAAATAGGTAGAAAAAAGGAGGAAGGAGGTCTCGCGGTTGAGTGTAGCCTCAACTGTGACAGCACCTTGGTGTGATCTGAAACCTTGTTGTGGAACCAATGTCAAGAACTAATGTTACAAGGTCGTACCAGCACGCTAAATAAAGCCCGTAGGCGAACTTTCTGTGAATACCTTGTGAATTTGAGGAGTCTTAGTAATTGAACAACACCTGAAGGTAACTGCTTAAGAGACCTACCCAATAATGATCGATAAGATGAGCAGAACAGACCTCATGCCAAGGTCGTGACTCGTAAAACTGCATTCATTGTCCATTGCGTGCCGTGAACTTCACGCTGTAAACATACCCGGCAACCACGCCCACCCCACTCTTGGACCTGGGTGGCTCCTTTCATTAAATTGTGAAGAAGAATAGATCGAATCGGGGCAAACTATCCCGATTTCACATCCCTTCGAACTGCGATGGACTTCGAGCCTCAGCACTGACCTGACAAGGAAGGTCCTCAACTCTCCTACTGACCGCGGTCCCACAACGATCTGGCGTTGGAGTTTTGCCAACCTGGGTCCTTTAATGAACGTCTGCGTGTACCAATTTTGCTTATATTTTTCCTTCCTATATTTATTCTTCCTTAATTAGTCGGGTAATCATTCATGTCTCGTTTCTAACCTTTTTCGTTTTACTAGCTCTTTTGGTTTGTTCCTATGGACTTGTTGAAAACAGTTTCCGAAAAGTTTTATGCAAAGAAATAACTGAAGGGTTGTTTTCATTAAGTATGGCAGAGAGCACACCGGTCACCAGCAGTGGAACTAAAGTTACGTTCAAAATAACCCTCACCAGTGATCCTAAGCTACCGTTCAAAGTGTTGGTTCCATTTCATTTTTAGATCTGCTTTCTATAGCCCGTTGATGCAATTATATGGAGGAAAAAATGAGATTTTAAGGTTGTCTGTACCTGAGTCAACACCTTTTACGGCTGTGCTCAAATTTGCTGCTGAAGAATTCAAGGTAAGATCGTTGATAATTCTCGTTTCACTAGCTGTTTTTAGTTCTTATTTTTACTATCTTCTTCATGTTGTCGTTCCATTCATTGTATTAGGCTGTCCAAACTTGAATGTTCATACGTCGGCCTTGTTTTCTCTTAATTGATCCAGAAGCAGTAAAATAAGCAAGGCATCAAACTTTCCTCACCTTGTCATGTTTGCATCCGGCTTTGTGACGCAACTATCGAGGTCGGGCGTTCACGTAGTTAGGGGGAGGGTAGTACGCCCGGGCGTGTTTCTGTACTCCCTCCTAGAAAGGCTCAGGCTTAGGGCGCAGACGATCAGGGCCCAGGTTCCTTAGGCATGTAGCACTAGTGTTTTCATCATAATATTTTACATGACTCTTGTAAAAGACAATCGAAAGTATGACAGGGGTCCTTAAATCAAGGCTGAGGGAACTCCATCTTGCTTTTTTGGAAAAAAAAACTCATCTTCGACAGTAGAGTATGAAGCTCCACACGGAGAGAGCAGGAGTCCAAGAGGATTTCGTTGCTAATGATTCGTAGAAGTTTAGTTCTCCTAATAGAGTGACAGAAGGAACTACCGAGTTCCTTAGGGTGAATGTGACGTTGAGCAGGCATTTTTGATAGCCTCCAATGACACACAGCGCATATGCCTTTTAAAAAGCTCCGGATGTCTACGGGAAATCCAAATTGCATCATAAATAGTCTTGATAGCTTTTCGGACCGAAGTACATCCCTCTCCGTAACCATCTCTTCGATACCGCGATCCTTTCTGCCCTAATTTAGCCCTCGGAGACTTCTCAATGAAAGCAAGATGAGCATGCGGTAGCTTCAGTCAGCGCACCATCCAAAAGGCGATGCTCGAAGTTTCGCGCTACACACAAGTGAGAGAGGGGACTCGGAGTTTTGCACTCGTCGATCCGTTGTACTAGTGCCATTACGAACTGGATTCCAAGGGGTATCGAACGAACACATGGACGACCGCGATCCGCCCCTGACGTTCAGACATTGTCGTGAAGAGCTTTGACGAATGTGTATTGGAGTTCTATTCGCACACGGGGAACCCAATGGGAACCCAATGTCGTCGCAGGCGTCGAATGGACGACGTGCTGGCGCGCCCACCGCAGCAACCTGACGCAGCCAACGGAGCTGGAGTTGTACAGGTGATTGCGACTGCACGCCTGTCCAAACTGGTCGTGGGAAATATAACATTTTAAATCAACTGCGTGCCAACCTCTTCATTGAATGACCATCATTACGAACCGCAAATGAGAGGCACCTCTCACTTTCAATCACTATCTTCTGGTACTCATTGAAGGTTAATCGATGCTTGCATAGTAGTTTGCTATGTAGCGCTCCGTTTTTACTTATTAGGCGGATTCACTTCTATCGTAGGTAAATAAGCGCGCTTTTCATGAGGAATTACCTTTTAAGTCATTACTTCTTCTTCCTTTCATTTTGTCATCTTTCAGGTTTGGTTATGGTGATGAACTACTTGTTTCAGGTGCGCAGCAACTTCTTGGATTGTATTACGAATGACGGAATTGGAATTAATCCTTCTCAATCAGCAGGAAATATTTTCTTGAAACATGGAAGTGAGCTGCGATTGATTCCTAGAGATCGAGTAGGGACAGTACTTCGAGATAGTGATTCTAGTCGATTGTAGCATGTGTTACATATCATTGGAACTTTCTCTGTTGTTTTTTTGTATATGATTGCCACTTTCCCGATTATCTAGAGCACTTATTATTTATTTATTTATATTCTAAATTAATTACTATGGTTTCCTGTACAATGTGATGATTTGTTCTGGGCTGCTGAATAAAGGTTTCTCTGCCACTATGGTGCCATACCAGAAAGTTTATCGTACTTTCATAACTTCAGTATATTCCATAACCTCAACTTCTTCTTTAGAAAATTAAGAGCTTTGTGCAGGTACAGGATGCAGTTGAGTCCGTCGCAAAAGCCAAGGATTCGATCATCAAAGTGTCAAACTTCTCAAACCTTCGTGTTTTCCAATGGCCGGATTCTGTCCCATTATCGTCGTATGGTATCTTGGTTTCAGAAAAGGACCAGAACCCCTACCGAAATGGACAGGTGCGTGTCGTCAAAATATCTTCGTTTTCGTTTTTTTTCTTGTGTGTAACTCATTTGAACCTGTGTCAGAAATTGTGTGGATAAAGGCGGTGATGCGCTGCTCACATTGCTTAGGTTGTTGAGGTTAATCCTAGGTCACAAAAAGCTGTAACCGAGTTTGAGCTACCTCCGCTGTTCAGGCTAGGATCGAATTTGGCATTTACTTGCAATTTTTTAGGGAATTAGACAGCTGGGTTTTGTGTTGGCTCGAGGAGTAGTCCTGCTCCTTCGTCAGGAATATCTTATTCTTTTTTGGCGCCCTCACTACGAAGGGTAGCGGCTGAACCTGCAAACTCGGGCGCCAAATCCCTTCGCAGTGGGCGGCCGAGTACAACAATACGGCTTGAGTTTGGCACTGACCGCTGATTTAAGTTCACCGCCTCTGAATAGTCCTGCACTTAGCTCCCAGTATGTATCCTAGAAGCATTTGAGTACCACTTTGAACATAAAAAAGGCTTCTCCGGTTACCTTCTGTTGTGGAAGGAATCGAAAACACATGTAAATGCATTTCTCTCCCAATCATCCGGAATGAAGTCAGTTTTTGACGGACTTTTCTTCCGTGAACAGACACGGCTTAAAAGTTGTCTCCTTTGGTAGCTTGATCTCCTTAACATGATTAGGGCCACTCAGCCGAAAAACTCCTGCGCTGGGAACTTGTCAACTGGGGTAGTTTGACCTCCAAAACACGAATATCACATCCTTCTGGTCTGGGCCGCCTGACGCATTTGTCACAAGCGACATGTCACAGACTCCGGCGCGCGTAGCACAGAGTCCATTCGCTTTTGTGCGGAGCGTAAGCTAGGGCAATTAGAGAAATTGTGATTCCTGTGTATGGGGTGTTCCTTCCCTTACTAAGGTTCAGCCTTAGCCGAGGAAGTAATCAATATCCCAGAGGAAGGGTGCAGACGTGCACAAGTAGGCTCCGCTATCCGTGTATCCCCTTCACCCCATCCTAAACATTCTCAACACCCCATACAGATGTGATACTCCTGTTCAGGATGTCAAACTACCCCAAGGGACAACTCTTTAGCCAATCTGCCCACGAAGAAAAAAGTCGGTCAAAAGCTGGCCTGATTCCGGATGATTGGGGCAGTAAAGGATAAATAGTGTCCTGTAAATCTACATGCATCTTAGGCTACATGGCCACTTTGACCTACTATTGGGTAATGGCGTCACTCTAAATTTCGCTCTGAAAACAAAAAAAAATTGCTATCAATCTTCAGACTTCGGTCCTGCATTTGGCTCTCAGTATGTATCTTAGAAACAGAGAATCCCTTGCCTTATAGAGTCCTCTTAACTTTTTTGTGTAATTTCTCTTCCCAGTAATATTTAAGTGCTCAAACTGGAGTGTCAGGTTGACGAATTGAGCATTTTTGACAGAACCGCACATGCCTAGTTGCTAAGTATATGGTCAGGAAGCCATATCACTTAGGAATGCTTTAAACTGTATAAACGATTCGGAGATTTTATTTTCGACATCACAGACAAGCATCGAATCTAGCACCCTATTGAGTTCAACTGAGAGCTTACTGAATCACCTTATCCATGGAGATTCATACCAATGATGGAGAATCGTTAGAGGTCATGGAATACTTACTTATCATAACCAAGCATCACTCTCAGTTGATGTTAGTACTCAGCTGTCGCTCCTCAAGTCGCCATCCTCCCATCATACAGTGCCTATTTACAAGGTCCGAATTTCAACTCCTTGATAGCTAAAGCCATGTTCATTCTTAGAGCCAAGTTCATTCTGTCGGATGAGCAATCTTCCTTAGGCTCATATATGATCGACGAAGTTTGAGCTTACTTCAGTTATGAAAGAGCGAGAAAAGTGTAAAAAAAGTAGTGCCGAAAACTCGCTTTTATGTAGATCCGGCATTCCGGATCAATGGAATAAAAATTAACAGGAATCAAGAAATAGTTGAAATGCAATTATACTGTTCTATAGGGCGGAAATTATCCGTGTATAGTATATAACATTGGATAAGGCTTAACCCACCTTTGACATGAAAAAAAAAAACTGTGTGGGGAAGCAAATCGCCATCACCAGCAGGCAACGACAGTATTTGTTCCCTTGTGAGGATGTTCATAGTCCTAGTTACTGTCTCGAGGACCTACCGTTCGTGTTCAGAGTGATCAGCGCACATTTCCTTATACTTATTTTATATTTTTAGATTGTGCCGTTCTCACTCTTCAGCCTGTTATGGGGCTGAAATGCTTCAGACTGGAAATTCCGACTCAGGTCATTAATAGGGCCTTATTACTAACGAATTGTTAAATTGGTTGCCATGATCCATAGTGATTATAATATTTTGTTATGAACCTTGTACCTCTAGAAAGTGATTGATCTTAATTCATAAATGGATGTTCTGTCCTGAGTTTGCTGTGTGGGTTGTAAAAACGGTGGACTTGATTTCTCAAGAACACATTTTGTATGGCTACCGCCTAGAAGCAAAATCAAAACTTCATTGTGGACGTAGTTACTGATTCAGAATTGATTTAATGTTGATGGTCCAGATTTTCAATGTTACCGAAGTGGGTGACGTAGTTACTAGCATGACGTTTTCTTTACTGACTCGCTTATAGCTTTACAGGAAAAGCTGGTGAACTTCATCGTCCGATGCTTCAACACCTGAAAATGAATATAATCTTCGTGAAATGTATGACATCAGATGAGCTAGGCAGTTTGAGGCACGAATGAAAATTTATAGACATTTGTGGTAGTGAACACATACATTCTTGTTTGCTGCGATGGTGGGGTGTGTCACGGGGGCTAGGTTTGGTACGACGCTGGCTCGTTTTCCATCTATTCTCGTTTTCACCTCTCCAACAGTAGGAGGAGAATGGGCTAGCGCCGCGCCAAACGCAGCCTCTCTGGCACGCCCTTGCAGCGACCAAGTTATTGTCACGTAGATGGTTATCTGTACTCTTTTATATATTTATTACATGAGGTATCTCATGTGGTAACAAACACTGTAAACCGATAGAAAACATGAATGTATGAAAAAAAACAAATGCCTAAATGTTAGAGGGGAAATCAGTGAATTGAGTTGAAACGGAAGTCATTATGATTCTAGGTATTGGCTGAGGTACTTTTGGAGGGCTTGGGTTATGAACATCTCAACTCTTGAGATGTACATTCGGAAATTTTGTCCGGTCTAGTAGCATCCGTTGAAGGATTTAATATTCGATAGTTAAGCGACAGTACTTCACTGGACCAAATGGTTTCAGGGTCACATATTGCGTCTTCGACCAGCACGAAATGACGGCCTAATCTACCCATCACAAGTCTGACTTACCTTGGATTGGATCGGCAAATAAGAAGGGGTGCTTTTGTGCTGGGGAAAGTATCACGCGTCCATCCCTGCAAGTGATAAGGCATGTGAAAGAGCGCGAA